CATCACTAGATCCGAGGGCCTTGGTGAAAACATCACAGTGTTGGCCCGAGTGGTCACGTAACCAAGACGAAGCTGACCATGCTGCTGCAGCTCTCGCGTGAGGAAGTAACGGAGATCAATGTGCTTCGTTATGTGCTCCAATATCTGGTCCTGACACAAGGCAATCATGACCTTGTTGTCGACGTACAGATCTGGAGGAGAACGAGGCCACTCACCCAAGTCGGTCAGCAGGTAGGTCAGCCACCGAAGCTCATGTGCAGCCATAGCCCCAGCGTAGTTCTCGGCCTCACAGCTGGAACTAAGTACAGAAGAAGAGCGAGTGGACCTCCACGAGACAGAACCAGTGCCGAGGCTGAAACTGTATCCATGTGTCGACCGGTGAGTTGTCTGGTCGTCAGCCCAAGAAGCGTCTGAGTGACCAGCGAGAACAACTGAACCCCGTCCTCCAAGAACGAGCCCCATGCCCGATGTGCTGCACAAGTAACGCAACACCCTTCTCGCAGCATCCCAGTGCATCTTTTGATGTCTACCGGGAGCCACGTAGCGAGCCAGGAGGCTAAGAGGGTACGCGATGTCAGGTCATGTGCACGTCATCAGGTACATGAGGCAACCCACAAGCTCTGGGTATGGACCACTCCGCTCTACAGACTCGTCTGAAGGTGGAGCTGTGAGCGAGTGGCCGGTAGACAGAGGAGTGGGTTGTGGCGAGGACCACGTGAAGTCGAAGCGCTGAAGGACCTGCTGCACCATGTGTGACTTAGTGAGGGTGATGGTGCGGCGTGCTCTGTCCCGGGTGATCTGCAAGCCAAGGTAGCTCCGCAGCTTGTCAGAATTATGTTGTTATAACTGCATGTAGTTCTAGCTGTAGTGTAGTTATTAACTTTGTAGGTGGTGCACCTCTTTGTCAGAGGTCCACTGGTGATCCCCGATCGATCCTAGGGAAGGGTTACAGGCACATTTGCCTGGGGGGTTATGGGCGCACTGACCCGCTACTGAAACAAGCCCTTTTATCCCAATGGTCTAGTGGTTGGGATTCTGAGATGGTATCCAGAGCGAAGGTCTCGCGTTCGAATCCCGGTGTATGCACTTCGGGCATCCCAGTGCGGGGGGGTGTCAGAGGTCCACTGGTGATCCCCGATCGATCCTAGGGAAGGGTTACAGGCACATTTGCCTGGGGGGTTATGGGCGCACTGACCCGCTACTGAAACAAGCCCTTTTATCCCAATGGTCTAGTGGTTGGGATTCTGAGACTCTTCACTTGTTTGCTATATGTACCCTTGTGCTATAGTGAACAACCTCATTCTTCTCTCCCCTTGGCACAAACTACCTCGACTTCCTTGGCCTAGGCTACTAAGCCTAGGCCCTCACTTAAACCTAGCATTCACTGCTCCTACTATCTTAACACTGCTCACCCAGGTCAGTACAAGTGTGTCTCTCCTGCAGCTCCACCTTCACCAAGGCCAGCGCCTCAGTGTCAGTAGTAGCAAAAACCAAGTCGTCAACGTACACAAGAACGTTGAACGGCGGCAGAGAAGTGTCTGTGTGCAGAAACAGCGAAGGGTCAGTAGTCGAGGGAGCGAAGCCAAGAGCCACAAGTGTAGTCCTCAGTGTGTTGTGCCACTCGCGGGGTGCCTGTTGGAGGCCGTTGACTGGTCGTCGAAGACTCCACTGGGTACACTCATGAAACGACCCAGTGAAACCACGTGGACGGCGCAACCAAATAGCCTCATGAAGGCTACCCTGCAAGAAGGCTATCGAGAAGTCGAGGGAGTACAGCTCATAGTCTCGCTGTGCAGCAACGTGCAGCAGCACCCGAAGAGTGGTCATCTTCGGGGTGGGGGAGAAGGTCTGAAAGAAGTTGACCCCCTCACGCTGACTGAAGCCTCGAGCAACGTAACGCGCCTTGAAGGCAGGCGGAGAACCCTGCGGCCGCTTCACCCTGAAAATCCACATGCCATCGACTATGTTCACCCCAGGTGGGAGAACCTCGTCAACATAGGTGCCTGTGAACTTCCAGGAAGCCATCTCTGCGTCCATGGCTATCTGCCACTAAGAGGAGTACGGACCCGTGATCGCCTCTGCCTAGGTGCGTGGGGTCGGGATGTCAAGTGCATCCGGGTCTCTCTCAGGGCAGAGTAGCGTCGACGCAAGATGCGGTGCAACAGTTGCGAGGCACTCCAGCTCAAACTGCCTGTCCTAAAGGACGTCACAGCCTAGGGCAAGCTCAACCCCGACAGACGGAGAACAGGAAGAGTAAAAAACAAGACTTGCAGCGTAGTCAAGGCGACACAAAGCGGCAAAGTCAACAAGCTCAGCAACTAAGACAGACGCAGCAGTAGACTCAAAGGAAGGGTCAGTCACAACTGTGGCAAGGAGATGAGTGACAGTCGGACTTGCAGCACGGACAAGGTCAGACTCAGGGTCAGGAACGTGCGGAAGAGAGGACGCAGGAGGCGGCGGCAGGACAACACGAGGTGGAATAGAGGAAGGACAAAGTGTCATATCGTGAGTGCTCGGTACAGCCGGTGCACGAGGACGACGAACACGACGAGCACGAGCAAGGACAGAAGCTCTAGTCTCAGGCTCTCGACACTCAGGAGTGGATGGAAACACGAGTCTCAGGCCCACGACGCGCAGTCAGGGACGCAGTCACCTCAGTGTGAGGAGCAGGAGCAGGCAGTAGAGAGCCAGGTAGTAGCGGTGGGAACTGTAACGGGGGAGTAGTGCCAGGAACGGGGAACTCAGTAGCAGCAGGTGGGAGACTGAGAAGGCGACTAAGCGCAGACGGCTGCGGCTGAGTAGTTGCACCTCCAGAACCTCCAGCTCCAGTAGTAACAGCACCCCCAAAACCAGTGCCTCCAACTCCACCATCAGGACTGCCCCAACGAACAGCCCACTCGCGAAGCTGCAGTGGCGAGAGCGAATCCTGCTGACGAGCACTACTAACTCCAGTACCTCCAGCACCTCCAGTAGCGCCTCCAGTACCTCCAGAAGTACCTCCAGTAGCACCTCCAGCACATCCAGCACCTCCAGCAGCTACTGTGCCTCCAGTACCAGGAACACCAGCACTAGCACCCCCAGGGCTAGTACCTCGCGAACCTCCAGCACCTAAAGCAAATCCTATGCCTCCAGTACCAGGAACACCAGCACCAACACCTCCAGGGCTAGTACCTCTAGAACCTGCACCTCCAGCACCTCCAGCAGCACCTGTGCCTCCAGTACCAGGAACACCAATACTAGTACCGCTAGGTCGAGCACCTCCAGAACCTGCAGCTCCAGCACGTCTAGCGCCACCACCCGGACTACGCACAGCAGCAGCACCTCCCGTACCTCCAGCTCTAGGAGAGTAAGCACTGCGAGCTCCACCACCAGGGCTGGCCCAATGTACAGCCCACTCGCAAAGCTGCTCTGACGAGAGAGTCTCCTGTCGACGCGCACTAGTGCTACCAGCACGACCAACCCCGGAACCACCAGCAGCAGACCCTCTAGCTCCAGCAGTGCCAGTACCTCCAGCTCCAGCAGCCCCAGCACCTCCCGCTCTAAGACGGCTAGCTCCACCACCAAGGCTACCCCACTGGACCACCCACTAGCGAAGCTTCTCCGGCGAGAGAGCCTCCTGCCGACTCGTAGCGGGACCACCAGCACCAGTACCTCCAGTACCTCCTGTACCGACAGGACACTCAGCACCCCCAGAACCAGCACCTCCAGTGGTACCACCTCCTGCAGCACCAGAGTCCACAGCGACAGGCTGCAGCGGCGGTGAAGACAGTCGAGGCTGAAAACCAGGAGGGACCGCCAAGCGTGCAGAGCGGCGAGGGGTTATAGTGGCAGCAGGAGTCGGGTCACCCCCATCAGCTGGGCCAGAGGTGTCTGAGGAGACCTCCAAAGGCTCAACCAAGAGGAGTGGGTCTACCTGAGACACACCTGAGGAGGGAGGGGGGCTACCGGGGGGGGGGGGGAGGGGTCGGAGACCAATGCGAGAGGCGGGAGAGGCACGGGGGAACTGCGGTGGGGGTGGAGACGGTAGAAACAGGCAGACTCGTCAAATGTGACGTCCTGGGAGGAGAGAACGCGACAGGAATCCGGGTGGTAAAAGTGCCAGCCCGGGGCGTCGGTAGGGAAGCCAAGAAAGACGCAGCGAAGAGTGCGAAGAGAGAGCTTCCCCGCAGGTGGGTCGCGAACAAGCGAAAGGGCACCCCAGACCCGAAACGGCGACGCATCACCAAGGGCAAGCTTGGCGCTCCGGCAGGGCAGCAGGGCGCTCAGTAGCAGGGCAGCTGGACGCGCGCGGGCAGGGGCAGTAAGGCGCGCGCTGGCACTAGGCAGCAGGGCAGGAAAAAAGGAATGATTGACTAAAGCAGGATGTATGGTACAAGTAGCAACCCTAACAAAAGGTTGTACCCCATAGGGAGTAACCCACTACAACCTAACATTACTAACATGACATATGGTAAACATGTTTTGACAATAGAGTAGTATACATACGATAAGTCATCCCGCATGCACCCATGGGCAATGTCCCAACTTTCTCAACGTCAACCCATGCGCATGGAATGGAATGGTACCTTCAATTCTCATATCGCTACACTACGTTATGCCATACATCCACTACGGTAGACAGGTGTGAACTAGCAAGTGGTGGCATGTCACTCTAGTGTACATCAGTAGAGCTTCACAGATGCTGGATTGGCACGGCAGTCACAGTTACAGATGGAGACAACAATCAGCTAGCTGTTGCAGGTCCTGAGAGGCTCTTTCTTTGCGTACCGTATCAGAACTTTTCAGCTGCTGCGGTATAAGGTCCTTCGGAATCGACTCATAAGTCACCTAGGTTCTGAGAGGGTCTGGGCATACGCTACGCTATTAGGCCTGATCGCGCCACGAGCTTCGCAGCTGCTAGATTGAGCGCCACTGTAGGGTCAAACGGCGGTTGCGGGTTCCGAGAGGGTCTTGGCTCTTGGAGCAAGCTAGTATAAGGTCCTAATCAGTCGACTCACAAGTCACATCGGTTCTGAGAGGGTCTTGGCATACGCTATTAGGTCCGATCGCGCCACTAGTCCTGTCGTGTCGCCGTTATGACTGCGAATGTACCGTTTGATCTCAGCGACAGACATTGCCATGAAGTTGGGGTGAGCAGCGCTTGAAGCACGAGGAGGAGGAGGAGCGCGTGTGCGAGCAGCACGAGAAGGAGTCGTTGGGGACGGCGATGGAGATGGGGAAAGGAGGGGAGGACCGTCAGAGAGAGAGGTAGTTGCAGCTGAAGCACCAGAGGCAGAAGCAGCAGAAGCAGCAGAAGTAGTGTTGAGAGGGGGAGGTGGAGGAGGAGTGAGTGGAGGCGAAGGCTCTGATTCTGAAGGGGCTGCCTGAGGGATGACGAATGCTGATAGAGGATCCAAGGCGGCTGCTGCTGCTGCTGCTGATGATGATGATGATTCTGCTGCTCCTTCTGAGGTTGCTCCTCCTGCTCTTCCTGCTCCTCCTGCTGCTCTTCCTGCTCCTCCTGCTGCTCCAGCTGCTGTGGACGAAGGTCCAGCTGCACTCTCTGCTGGCGTGGCACTGGCCCGTGCCTGCTGCTCTCCCCACTGCTGCTGCTCCTGCTTCTGCCTCCTCTTCTGCTCCTGCTCCTGCTCCTGCTCCTGCTGTCGCTGCTTCTCCTGCCGCGCCTGTTGCTCTCTTTGCTCTTCCCGCTCTTTCCGCTCTCGTCTCTCCTGCTGCTGTCGCTGTGCTAGCTCGTCCTGTTCCTTCTGCCACTGCTCCTCCGCTGCTCTCTGCTTCTCCCTGTGCTGCTGGTACTGGTGCTCCTGCTCCTGAGCTGTCTCCTCAGAATAAAAAGCCTTGTGCGAGCCCTGCATTAGGGGGGAGAGGGTAGTTATGAAATAAATAAGTCCGACCTATCCTCTCGCCCGCCCCTGCTCTCACCCACCCCTGCTCTCGCCCGCCCCTGCTCTCACCCACCCCTGCTCTCACCCACCCCTGCTCTCAGGTGGCCCCCCAGGTGGCCAGGGCAGATAGGGGTTGAGCTAAGTTGGAATATACGCTTAGGGGCCTTAGCGTTCAGCGTTTGAACGCTAGCGTGTATACGCAATACGCGAAACGCTAGCGAATACGCTATACGCAACCCAAAATTTTTTGGGGCAGCCCGCCCGACCCAAAAATTCTCAAACACACCAAAAGATGCTGAATGGCACGGCGAGTGATTCTGCAACGTCAGATTGCACGTCAGATTGGAGCGCTAAGTCGCAGGCATACCTAACAGGCTTAACCTCCCCCAGGCGGCCCCTCATATGCAGCACGGTTCCCCTGCTCTCTCACCCACCGCCCCCGCCTCTCACCCCCCTGCATGGCTCCCCCTGGCAGCCAGGGCGCATAAGGGTTGAATCCTGCATGCCCCAAATTGCAGTATTGTCCTGACTCAATCTCGATCATTCACCCCGCATCCCTGCTCTTTCTCTCGCGGCCTCACCTGCATGGCCCCCCCTGGCGGCCAGGGCGCATAAGGGTTGAACAGGGAAGGCGGGGGGCGGCCGGCAAAGCCTCTAGCCCAGGGTGCTGGTATTGGGTAGATCTGTGGAGCAGGGGGGGACAGGGGGGAGGGGAGAGGGGTGACAAGGGGGAGAGAAAGAATCAGGGTAGGGATGGGGATGGGGATGTGGGGGGCCAGCAGGCAAAGCCTCAGACCCAGGGGAATGGGATTGGGTAGATCTGTGACTCAGGGAGAGACAGGGGGGAGAGGAGGGTTGATGGGTAGGGAAGAGAGACCCTAAACCCTAAACAGGCGGGTTAGGGAAGATTGCTGTGGCCCCTGCCCATGCATGCATGAACTTCCTGACTCTCTGTGCCCTCTGGCACAGGGCCAGGGGAATGGGATTGGGTAGGTCTGAGACATGGAGTGACAAAGGGGACAGGGGGGACAAGGGGGCGAGGGGGAGAGAGAGCGATTCGGACAGGGATGGGATGGGCATGGGGATGGGGATGGGGATGGGGCATGGGGATGGGATGGGGATGGGGATAGGCATGGGCATGGGATGGGCGTGCGGATGGGGATGGGGATGGGCACATACCAAGGGGCGGTGATAGGAGGGTTTGGGTCGCATGTGAGGAGAGAGGCTCCCTGCTGCCGCTGCTGCTTCTGCTGCACTTGCTGCTGACTCGGCGTCTGCCTTGAGTTGATTCAAGTGCCGCGCCTTGGCCTGATGCGCGTACCACGCCATGTCATGCCATGACATGTCGTGCCATGCCATGCCATGCCACGCCATATCATGTCACAACCATGCAGGGCAACGAGGCAATGAATCGAGGTGAATCGCTGCTGTTGACTCAGAGTGACAGTCTCGGGGCCGGTCAAGCAATAATGGACACTCTCACTCAACTTTCAGGATGTGTATATTTGCTATTTGGGAATCGCTTTTGAGAATTCTCAAAAGGCCGGTCAAGCAACAATGGACACTCTCACTCAACTTTCAGGATGTGTATATTTGCTATTTGGGAATCGCTTTTGAGATTTCTCAAAAGGCCGGTCAAGCAACAATGGACACTCTCACTCAACTTTCAGGATGTGTATATTTGCTATTTGGGAATCGCTTTTGAGAATTCTCAAAAGGCCGGTCAAGCAACAATGGACACTCTCACTCAACTTTCAGGATGTGAAACCCTACCAACGAGTTCAGGTTGTGAAAACTCGACAGCCCAACTAGTTTTTGCTAACAACTCGACAAAACAACTAGTTCTTGCTAACAACTTGGAATCTACAGACATGCAATGCAACGACTCCCATCGCTGGAAAGCGGTGCTCCATGGAGCAAGTGCACCACATCACATCGTAGCAACCCATCAGCAACCCCTCCAATACCATACCACAACCCACAAGCATACGTGGAAAGTGGTGCATCACACAGCAACCCCACAGCAGCAGTCCCCCAATACAGCAACCCAAATGCTCACCTGGACCATAGCACCTAGCCTCTGACAACTGATGTTGGGATCGTTAAGAAACAGCAAACCACATGCACAGCACACCTACCTGGAATATGGCGCCTAGCTTCTTGAGAGCATGCGCCCGCCCTTCCAACACAGTCTTTGATTCGCACTCCTCTGTCAGTACCTGGGGGGAAGGCAGGGGGCGGGGGGTGAGAAAAGTCAGGTTTTGAGACGTCGCAAAACCCTTTGATTCGCACTCCTCTGTCAGTACCTGGCTGGGGGGAAGGCACGGGGTGGGGGGTGAAGGGTGAATGCGGGACGAAATCACCCGCCCTTCCATCCAACGAAGCCTCCCCCTCCCATTGCTCTCGCGGCACCTGGGTGGGTGGAAGGCAAGGGGTGGGGCTGCTGAATCAACAAGTGCTGAGCAACTCAGATGGTCAAGGGGCCCACGCACCTTATGCTTGCCCACGCACCCCCAAGGTGGCCTCGATGTCCACCACGTTGAGCTTCCACAGCGAGGTGCGACTGCTGGGAGGAATGCTGGGATGAGAGAGCGCACGAAACTTATGACAATCCATCCCCAAGGTGGCTTCTATATCCACCACATTGAGCTTCCACAGCGACCCCAGCAGCGACTGCTGGGGCTGCTGGGAGGACCGCGTTGACTGCTGGGACTGCTGCTGGCAGGCTAGCATGCTGAACTAACGAGTGCTGACAACGCACACGCACGCACGCACGCACGCACGCACCTTGTGGCAAACCATCACCAAGGTGGCTTCTATGTCCACCACGTTAAGCTTCCACAGCGACCCCAGCAGCGACTGCTGGCGGCTCTCTAGGTACCCTGCTAGTGCCGCCCCCCCCAGCTCCTGCTCCTGCACTGCTTTTCGCATGTCCTGCTGCGCCTGACACAGCTCCACCACGCCTGGTGAACAAAGGTGGGGATATAGGGTGGGAAAGGAGGGGAGGTGGGGGTTTGGATGAGGGGAGGGAGAGTGTAGCAGAGCCGAGGTAACCAGAAGTTGGGGCAGCAAGCCCTCCCAGCGACTCCACAGCGACCCCCGCAGTGACTGCTGGCGGCTCTCTAGGTACCCTGGTAGTGCCGCCCCCCCCAGCTCCTGCTCCTGTACCGCCTTGCACATGTCCTGCTGTGCTTGACACAGCTCCACCACGCATGGTGGAAGGGGGAAGGGGACGGGTAGGGTGACGGATGAACGGTGATAAGGATGGCATAGTAGAGAAGAGAAGAGGTGACTTGTTGTTGGATTGGAGCCCCCAGCTCTTGCTTGTTCTTGTTGTTGGCGTAGCACTGCCTTGCGCATGTCCTGCTGGGCTTCACACAGCTCCACTCCACCACGCCTGGTGGAAGGAGGAAGAGGTGACTTGTTGTTGGATTGGAGCCCCCAGCTCTTGCTCCTGTACTGCCTTGCACATGTCCTGCTGTGCCTGACACAGCTCCACCACGCGTGGTGTTGTGAGTGAGAAGGAGGGGTAGGAAAAAAGGGGAGGTGGAAGGTGAGGGGTCGCAGGGTGGGGACACTGAAGTAGACGAATTTTGAGACGTCTCAAAAGGAGGGAGGGGGTAAAAGGATCTTGCAGCACGGATGTTGAGGAGGGGGGGGAGAAGGTTGGAAGGATTTTGCAGCATCCCATCCGTAGAACACAACACACCCAGAATCTCTCCATCAAACCTCTTCAGTGCAGTGCACCCAGCATCACCGTACTGTGCCCAGCACCAAACTACCCCACTCACCAACGACGGCAGAGGCGTGGGTGTGCAGCAGGCGGCCTCTCTCCCGCAACCACTCGCACACAAACGGCACCCCCAGGTACATCGGATTCTTGCCCTGCTCCTTGGCTGCTGCTTCCCCACACTGACTGTACCACTTCTCAACACCACCATGGATCACCGGACACCACCCAGTGGCACCGCATCACGCAACCTGGCACCTAGCGTCACCGCACTGCACCCAGCAGCACCGCCCCACTCACCAACGACAGCAGAGGCGTGGGTGTGCAGCAGGCGCCCTCGCTCCCGCAGCCACTCGCCCACAAACGGCACCCCCAGGTACATCGGATTCTTGCCCTGCTCCTTGGCTGCTGTGCGCTCGTACACGTAGCCTATACTCGCCAGCATGTGCTCTCCAAAGGCTGGAGAAAGGAATGGGGGAGATGGCAAGGAAAGATGTCACGTGTGTGTCACTTTCTGCGCGTGCTCGCTTGCGCCCTGCTCCTTGGCTGCTGTGCGCTCGTACAAGTACCCTATACTCGCCAGCATGTGCTCTCCAAAGGCTGCTTGTGAGGGATGCGGGATGCAGGGGAGAAAGGCACGGCAGTCTATCAAGCGATCGAAGAAGTGTTTTGAGACGTCTCAAAACACTTCTTCAATCATGCGGGATGCAAGGGGAGAAAGGCATGACAGTCTATCATGCAAGTCTGCTGTGCTAATGCTTCCTCTCCCTGTTCCTTGGCTGCTGTGCTGTGCTGTGCTGTGCTGTGCTGTGCAGTGCTGTGCTGTGCTGTGCAGTGCTGTGCTGTGCTGTGCTGTGCAGTGCTGTGCTGTGCAGTGCTGTGCTGTGCTGTGCTGTGCTGTGCTGTGCTGTGCTGTGCTGTGCTGTGCTGTGCTGTGCTGTGCTGTGCTGTGCTGTGCTGTGCTGTGCTGTGCAGTGCTGTGCTGTGCTGTGCTGTGCAGTGCTGTGCTGTGCAGTGCTGTGCTGTGCTGTGCTGTGCTGTGCTGTGCTGTGCTGTGCTGTGCTGTGCTGTGCTGTGCTGTGCTGTGCTGTGCTGTGCTGTGCTGTGCTGTGCTGTGCTGTGCTGTGCTGTGCTGTGCTGTGCTGTGCTGTGCTGTGCTGTGCTGTGCTGTGCTGTGCTGTGCTGTGCTGTGCTGTGCTGTGCTGTGCTGTGCTGTGCTGTGCTGTGCTGTGCTGTGCTGTGCTGTGCTGTGCTGTGCTGTGCTGTGCTGTGCTGTGCTGTGCTGTGCTGTGCTGTGCTGTGCTGTGCTGTGCTGTGCTGTGCTGTGCAGTGCTGTGCTGTGCTGTGCTGTGCAGTGCTGTGCTGTGCTGTGCTGTGCAGTGCTGTGCTGTGCTGTGCTGTGCAGTGCTGTGCTGTGCTGTGCTGTGCAGTGCTGTGCTGTGCTGTGCTGTGCTGTGCTGTGCAGTGCTGTGCTGTGCAGTGCAGTGCTGTGCAGTGCTGTGCAGTGCTGTGCTGTGCGCTCATACACGTACCCTATGCTTGCTAGCATGTGTTCGCCGAAGGCTGTTGGCGGGGGATGGGGAGACAAAAGGCGATGGAGGGGTAATAAAACAAGTCTACTCTGCTCTGCTGGTGGTGCTGGTGCTCCCTCTTTCCCTGCGCCTTGGCCGCACTGCGCTCATCGTACACGCATCCTATGCTCGCCAGCATGTGCTGTCTGAAGGTTGTTTGTAGGGCATGTGGGGACGACTTTTGAGGCGCCTCAAAAGTCGCACTGCGCTCGTACACGCATCCTATGCTCGCCAACATGTGCTCTTCGAAGGCTGTTTGTATGTGGGGCATGTGGGGCATGTGGGGCATGTGGGGCATGTGGGGCATGTGGGGAAGCAAGGCCCAGTGAGCACAGGACACATCACATAGACTGCTGGCACCAGTGCTCCCGCCTTGTTCATTGGCTGGCTGCTCTGCGCTGCGCTCATACACATACCCTATGCTTGCCAGTATAGGATATGTGTATGAGCGCAGGGTCTGCACAGGAGAGAGACACGGGATACATGACCGATAATGCCCGCCCACCGAACGCACACACAAACTCCTAAGAGTTCGTAAAGGTAACACAAGCATCTTCCCCCAACCCACACCCTTCTCTCCCACCCACCCACCGGCATGAGCAAGCTTGTCAGCCTCTTCATGTGCCCACCGCACAAACTCCTCCTTGCCCCTCCCGCCCAACCCCCACAGGTGCAGCCGTGCACGCAGCTTTTCCAGCAGCTCCCCCACGCGCTGGTCCTGGGCGACCTGCAGAGGGGCAGAGAGCGAGGGCAGAGGGGGCGCGGGAAGGGGAAAGAGTCGAGGGCTGAGGAGGCGCGGGAAGGGGAACGAGGCAAGGGCAGAGGGGATGGAGACGAGAGCGAGGTGTGGTGCAGTATACGCAGCAGGGCTGGAGGGAGCAGCCGCACTTGCAGCTTCCCCAGCAGCTCTCTACCACATGCTGGCTGTGGGCCGCCTGCAAGGGGGAAAGGCAAGGAGAGGAGCGAGGGAGGGAGTGAGAGAGTCAGAGAGTGTCTGACTCGCAGCTCTCATCAGTCAGCTTTCACTCAATCCTTCCTAAGCCACGCCCTTCAGTTCTCATCACGTAAGTCATCATTAAGTCCGCAGCTTACCCTTCATCTGAGGCACCTCATGATGAAGGTGAAGCTCCAGAGGAAGCAGCTTCAGCTGGAACAGATGCATCGTCAGATCTGCCGATGCACTGTCAACGTCCAATTTCCAAGAGTTCTGAAAAACTCCTTCATGCCTCACGCCCCACCTCACACCTTCCACCTCCCCATACCTTGAGCCTCTGCTGAACCTCCCCGGGGAGCAGCCCCCCTGCAATCCCTGCTCACACCCATCTCAGGAGCCACAACAGCAGCAGCAGCAGCAGCAGCACTCTAACCTCCCACCTTCCACCTCCCCATACCTTGAGCCTCTGCTGAACCTCCCCGGGGAGCAGCCCCCCTGCGATCCCCCCCTCAGGAGCACCACCACCAACAGCAGCGGCGGCAGCAGCGGAGTCGAAGGCAATGGACGCAAAGGTGGCCATGGCGAGCTGCCCCACGTAATCCTCAAAGGCCTCGCTGCCGAACAGCATCCCGAACACCGCTGCTGGATCCACCATCGCTTCCCTGTACACGGAGGGATTGGGGAGAAAGCAGCAGTGTGTGTGAGAAGGGAGGGCAGTGGGATTCTTAGAGAGCTGCCCCACGTAGTCCTCAAAGGGCTCGCTGCCAAATAGCATTCCGAACACCGCTGCTGGATCCACCATGGCTTCCCTGTAGGGGTGGGGGAGAGGGGAGAGGAGGAGGGGGGTTAGGAGAGGGGAGAGGGGAGAGGGTAGTGGGGAGAGGGGAGTGGGAGGAGGGGAGAGGACGCGAAGGGGAAGGGAGGGAGGGGGGAGAGCGAGAGGGGAGTGGAGAGGGGAGTGGAGAGGGGAGTGGAGAGGGGAGTGGAGAGGGGAGTCGGACGAGGGGAAGGGGGAGCGGAGCGGAGAGGGGAAGGTGACATGGTGGGGGAGTGGTAAGGTGAGGAGCAATGGGGAGGGGAGCATGAGAGCATGTGGGCATAACGTAGGGGAACATGAAAGCAGATGGGGACTTGGAGGGAGTGAGTGAATAAGGGAGTGAGTGAATAAGGGAGTGAGTGAATAAGGGAGTGAGTGAGCGAGTGAGCGAGTGAATAAGGGAGTGAGTGAGCGAGTGAGCGAGTGGGTAAGTGAGTGAGTGAGTGAGTGAGTGAGTGAGCGAGCAAGTGAGCGAATGGGAGGTAGCAGAGACGCACGTGGAGATACCAGCCTTGCCAGCAGCATCGTATCGTTCGCGCTGTACAGGGTCGCTGAGCACCTGGTACGCCTCCCCCAGCGCCTGGAACTTGGCCGCTGCTTTCGGGTCGTCCCGGTTCTTGTCAGGGTGAACCAGGCGCGCCTGTTGGCAGGGGGGAGGGGGAAGGGGGGAAGGGGGGAAGAGGGGAAGGGGGGACGGGGGGGGGAGGGGGGAAGGGGAGAAGGGGGGAAGGGGGGAAGGGGGGGAGGGGAGAAGTTGGGAAGGCGAAGTATACTCTCTGTAAGGGGCGCTGGCGCAGCACGGGGTCGCTGAGCACCTGGTACGCCTCCCCCAGCGCCTGGAACCTGGCCACGGCCTTGGGATCATCGCGGTTCTTGTTGGGATGCACCAGGCGCGCCTGTTGGAGAGAGGGGATTGGAGGGGAGGGGAGGGGGAGGGTGGGGGGAAGGGGACGGGGGGTCTCTTTCAAGCGTGCCTCAAGAGAATCTTTCTCCGGGGTCTTAGACAGGTTCACTGGCGTCACTGGCGTCACTGGCGTCACTGGGGCTTCTTCCTCGCCTCTTCCCCTCTCTTTCCCCTCCCCCCCCCCCTCTCCTCCCGCATTCCCCCACCCTTCTCCCGCCTCCCCCCTCCCCCCGTTCCCCCGATATCCTTCCCCTCAATCACCACCGCCCTCCCCACCCCTCTCCCCGCTTTCCCCCTGCGCACCTTCACAAAGTAAGCTTTTCGGATGACCGACGCGTCTGCGCCGGGCGCTATCCCCAGCAGGTCGTAATACTCTGTCTCGCGAACCATACTGAAATCGCCACACTTCGCAGCCTCAGCCTTTGCTCCTTCCCTCCCTCCGTCCCTCCTTCACTCCTTTCCCTCCCTCACTCCTTACCTCCTTCTCCCCGTCACTCCTTCACTCCTATGCTCTCCACTCCTCACTCCCTCACCCTCTTCGTTCCGACGCCACCGTCCGTTGGTTCTACCAGTCAAAAGCCAGTTAATACCAGGTGAACTTGCTTATAGTATAATACGGCTTGTAGCGGAACCCAGTGTCTCTTATATCGCGGAGATTCGAGAGTCGACGATGGTGGACCCCGGAAACGGCGAGTCGCTCTGGCTCGCGGTTTGGGTTCGGGCTCTGACCGTGCCGGATAGTGGTAAGCGTCGAGCCGCGGATTTCACCGTAACTCCTTCCCCCGATAATCTGCAAAGGGTCTGGCAAAAGTAACAGATGCAACGGCACAGGCCGCCTATCCACTATTTTACACGACACTACGAGTTCCGAATCATGATGGATGTCTTGCGAACGCAACAATCTGCCGGCCTAGAAGAAATCGACGCCAACCCGATGATCATCCTAGATTCTGGACTCGACTGGACTTGAGGTGCAGGCAGAACAGACTGGCCGGCATAATCGGACGAGGTGTCCCCAGCCAGGTGATGTGACGATCAAATCGGTAACGCATGGTTTATTACGGCAAGGCATTCTCGTGTGGATAGCCATCTGGCTCAAGTACATAATAATAATATAGTTCTGTTACAAGCAGCGGCTAACATGTACCGTACCGTATTTCAATTTCAAAATGATTATGTTTTCACTTGCCAACGCACTTGGAAGACATACGGTACTGTTCCCATGCTTTGTTGTTGGGGGGCAAGATGAGCACATACCTCCCAAGACCAGGCAGGCACCTCGAAAACAAAAATCATAACTCGGCACAACTTCAGAAGACGTAAAAAATAGACGCCTCACTCATTGACAAGCCCATATCCCACAATAACCCACACCTACACTATTTCCAGCTCTGCCTCCTCCTCCTCCTCAACACCCTCCATATCACGCACTAACAACTTCACCTCATCTCCACCCAATCCCACACCAGCAAACTCCACCAGCGAGCACAGACCCTCGGGATTACCCACAGAACAAGCCCGCACCACGTCAGCCCCAGCAACAGCCTGCCCGTCCATATGCAGCCACAGCACGAGGACAAACTCCCCCCGGTGCTCATCATACGGAGCCTCACCACCCCACTCGGGCATTCCTTCTGACATCGCATCTGCGACTTGCAGAGCATTTTTCCCAGTGTTGTTTCCGCCAATCTCTTCTGCCTTTCTCCCTCCCTCCACCAGCTCTGCATCGAAGACACCTTCTTCATGTGTTGATCCGAAATCAGCGCCGCCACTGCCGCCGCCCCCGCTGCTGCTGCTGCTGCTGGAGGCACGGTTGGTTGGAGCAGTGAGTTGCAGCAGCCGACTGGAATCACCTGCACACCGGACCAAACCCGTCAGGTCACCTTGTGACACCACAGGTACCTCCACCCCCACCTTTTCCACTTCTCCTGCCGCTCCTGCGCTCCCTGAGTCTCCTGCTGTTGTTCCAGCTGATTCTGCTGCAGTGCTTTCCCCTACTGTTGGAGCTTCAGTTGCTTTCAAAACGCCTGCCAAATCTCCCATATTCTCCGAATCCTCCATAATCCCCCACCTATCATCATCCTCCAATAAGAGCATGCCACGTGGCACATATTCAACAGATGTCTCTAGCACTTCAGTCGTAGGCTCCTCCCACTCCCCGTCCCCCTTCCTTCCGCCATTCCCCTTCCCCTTCGCCCCTCCTTTCCCCTTCCCCGCGCCACGCTTCCCCATGCCTGCCGCCCCAGGCCCAGCACCAAACCCCGCCGCCGAGCCTCGGAGCTTGGCTCGGACGTGAACCTGCACGAGCACGCAGCCGCGGCCGAACCTCTGCTGTCCAGCGGCCGCCACGCGCGCAATGTCAAGCGCAGTAGGCGCACCGCCTCCGCCGTCACATGTGCTCACGCGCTGGAACTGCGAGTCCCACACCGCCATCAGCTGCTCGAACGACCATCGGCGCGCAGCGGGCCCCTTCGGGGCGCCCTTGGGCTTCCGCCGCCTCGCAGCGTTCGCTGCGCTGCTGTCGTTGCCACTGCCGCCGCTGCTGCTGTCTTCGCTTCTGTTGTCGCTGGCATCAGCACCCTTACTTTCGTGTTCAGTAAGGAGTTCAGAGGAAATAACGGACACATCCTCCGTGGATCCCGTCTCTTGCTGCTGCCTGCCCTTCTTCCCCTGCCGACGCTTCCCTTTGCGACCCCCGCCGCTCCCGACTCCGCCTCCTGCGGCGGCACGAACGGAGATAGTGCGTGGAATTAGCGGAAATGGCGGGTTGTGGGGAGAGCAGACGGATCGCAGAATGCTGGTTGACGCCGTGAGGGGAAATGAGCCTGGTCGTAGAGTTCGCCTTATTTCGCTAGCGTCGGTCGCGGAGCGGCAGCTGCGAAGGAGCGAGGATCGCAATTGGAGGTCGCCATGAGCGACCAGCCGCGTGGTGGTGGGAATGCTCGCGAGACGCATTGCGCGCGATTCGCGCAAATCGCGGGGATTACTGTGGCGACGAGAAGGATGAACCAATTACTGAATAACTGAGGCCTGAATTCTAAATGCCTCTTCGATCCTTGCTGCGATCGGTGGTTCTCCCACAGCTGTGCCACGCGGCACAATCTGCGTGGGTGGTGGAGAGCGGGAGAAGGGGTTTGGCAGGGGTGAAGGGATTGGATTGGATTGCAGGGAAATCGCTGCGGAACGTAAATGGCGGGGTCGCGGTGCATGCACGATCAATTTGTAGCTCACGACGGGTTACGAGAGTTCGTGTCTTCGGTGCTGTTCGCCAGCACAATTCTATCCAAAAACCACGGGATAACGACGGGATCAGGAAGGAGGGTCTCGCCTTCCTGATCCCGTCAGTTAGAGTTCGTTAACCTCCGTCAGCTTGGTCAGCCCGTAAAAGAAGTGCCGAGCCTCACCTACCGTCCAAACCAACAAACAAAGTGGGCGTCTGGCGAACGCCCACTTTTCTCCACCAAATCTAACAGCTCGACGGCATCTGGAAGCGGGGACGAAACTTCGTCCCTAGGCAAAATGCCATCCCCTAGCCATGCCATCGTCATGCCGCGTTTTTCAAAGCACAGCGGTGGAACAGCCGATGCATTGCTGTTCAGAGGGTAACCCTTGAACAAGCCTGCAGTTTAACAAAGGGGGGTTCGTATATTTTTCCCTCCCAAACACACCGTGGCGGGGGTTGTGTTTGAGCGGGGTGTGTTTTATTTGCGTTTTTACCCACGTTGAGCAATTTTTGGTCAGCGGGCAGCACAAGGGTCAGGGATGAGCAAATTTCGCTCCATTGGGGGGAAGGTGGGGATGGACCTTCCCGACGCGGTTGAGAAATTTCGCATTTCGGGCGCGCGTAGTTTCTCGGGCGGCATTTCGCCCAAACCTCGGAGGAGGGTTCCGCCCCCGTTTCCATATGCGGTCACGACGCTGATGCCATCATTTTCTGTTGAAGAAACGATTTGCTGGTGAACAGCACCTTTGTGTTCGTCGCAATGCTAGGCAAAATGACATGTCCGCATTCGCCAATCTTCGTGTTCAATTGGCCTACACTGCAAACTTCTGGAGCAGAGGTGGGTGGGGGAACTGGATGGGTGGGGTGGGGTGGGTTGGGGTGATTGCAGTTGACTCTTCCAGCTCTGTACAGAGCAGGAAACATGTTCAGTGACGTCGAGAGGTGATCGCACTGGAAGCTACTGCAGCGTTGTTACGGGTGCAATGAATCGAAGTAGCGAGAATTGCGCTAAAGTGTCAAATGAGTACAAAATGTGAGCGAAGGCATGAGCGAAACATTTATACGCGAAACATGCAAACGGTAACGCGGTGCGTGCGAGCTAGCTAGTGCTATGATGTAAACGAGGCCCGGGCTAGTCCCGAATGTCAGAACATATAGCTTACTTGTTTCTGTAGGCTATAGTGGGGTATCCCATAGGGGGTACAACCCCATAGGGTTTCCTATTTGTACTCACTTCATTTCATAGTCATTCATTCCTGTTCCTTATTTTCACATGGTATAGAGCGGGTTCCCTGTGGGAACTTCGCCTAGGGCCCACCGAAGCGCGCCCCGAGGCGCGCGATCGTTTTTAGCGACCCCCCCGAGTCGCCCTTCCCCACGCGGCCCCGCTGCCCTTCACGCAGCCCCGCCGCCCTTCCTAGCGGTCCCGCCCACCGTTCGAGCGGCCCCGCCTCTCCTTCGCGGCCCCGCCGTCTAGTCGCGGCCCCGCCACCTCCTCGCGGCCCCGCTACGACGCGGCCCCGCCGCCTGCTCGGACGCGGCCCCGCCGCCTGCTTGGCCGCGGCCCCGCTGCCTGCTCCGACGCGGCCCCGCCGCCCGCTACAGACGCGGCCACGCCGCCAGCTCAACCGCGGCCCCGCCGCCCGCTACGACGCGGCCTCCGCCGCCTGCTCAGCCGCGGCCCCCCCTCTCTCTACGACGCGGCCTCCGCCGCCTGCTCAGCCGCGGCCCCGCCGCCCGCTACGACGCGGCCCCGCCGCCTGCTCAGCCGCGGGTGCTCCCAGCGGCCCGCCGCTGCACCCTACGGCCCGCCGCCTCACCTGACGGCCCGCCGCTGCACCCTACGGCCCACCGCTGCACCTGCCGGCCCGCCACTGCTCCCTACGGCCCACCGCTGCACCCTGACGGCTCCGCCGTCCCTTGTCCCGGCCCCGCCACTACACTGCAGCCGAGCCGCCCAGCAGCAGCCGGACCGCCCAGCAGCAGCCGAGCCGCCCAGCAGCAGCCGAGCCGCCCAGCAGCAGCCGAGCCGCCCAGCAACAGCCGAGCCGCCCAGCAGCAGCCGAGCCGCCCGGTACCCGAGCCGCCCGAGCCGCCCGAGCCGCCCGAGCCGCCCGAGCCGCCCCAGCAGCCCGAGCCGCCCGAGCCACCTGAGGAGCCGTGCTGCTGTTCCTGAGCTGTGTTCCTCTGCTGCTGACCTACTCGACTCTCCTAGCCCGGTGAGACTTTGAGCTGCTGCCATGGCCACCCCCAATGTTCTTACTTTTGACGCTGAGGGGAGGGCCATTCACTTTGCCGTCTGGATTGAAGACCTGCAGCTATTCTTACTGTGTGATGCGATAGATGAGGTCTCTCTCTTTGACTTTGTCTCTGGCGCTGTCCCTGCCCCGCCTGCTGATGCTGACTCTGCTGCTCGCTCCAAGTGGGCGACCCGCGATGCTGCTGCACGTCTTGCTGTGCGTCGCCACCTCCCTTCCTCTGAGCGTGCCCACTTTAGTCAGTGCAAGACCGCTCAGGCCTTGTACGACGCTGTAGTTGCACGCTACTCCTCCCCTTCCTCCGCTACCCTTAGCCGCCTCATGCTACCGTTTCTCTTCCCTGACCTCGCTTCCTTTCCCACTGTTGCTGACCTAGTTACCCACCTCCGCGCTAGTGACACCCGCTACCGTGCTGCCCTTCCTGCTGAGTTCCGCGCTGCGAACCCTCCTCCCATGTACATCACTCTCTACTTTCTCGTCACCCGTCTCCCTGAGTCCCTTCGTGTCGTTAGGGACCAGTTTCTCTCTGTCTGTCCCACCACTCTCACTGTCGACCTCCTTGAGGAGTCCCTGCTAGCGGCTGAGAAGAGTATTGTCGCTGTAGGGGCCTCTCGGGGTGACCCTCGCACCCCCATCTTTGAGGGGTGTGGTCCTTCCCCCCTGCTGCCCTCTGTCGCCTCTGCCGCTGCTGCCGACCTTGCTGGTTTTGAGTCGGTCAGCGCGGCGTCTGCCCCCAGCGGCAGACGCCGCACTGGCAAGGGCAAGGGGGGCAAGGGAGCGGGTGGAGCTAGAGGGGGCGGTGGAGGAGGCGGTGGGGGTGGAGGGGGGAGTGGGGGTGGCGGTGGGGGTGGTGGCGGGAGTGGAGGTACTGGTGGCAGCGGTGGAGGCGGAGGTGGCGGCGGAGGTGGTAGCGGAGGAGGCGGTGGGAGCGGTGGGAGCGGCGGTCCTGGTGGGGGAGGTGGCGGTGGAGACGGGGGTGGCGGTGGAGACGGGGGTGGCGGTGGAGGCGGGGGTCGGAGTGGCTCGTCCCAGCGGAGCAGCTCTGGGGGTGGTCAGCGCCAGCAGCAGCAGCAGCAGCAGCAGCAGCAGCCGCAGCAGCAGCAGCGCTCTCGCACCGTCCCCGGCCCTCAGCAGCTCCGTGAGTGGTACTTGCAGCGTCA